GTACTATGAAACAAGCTGTAAAAAACGTACTATAAAACAAGCTGTAAAAAACACGTACTATGAAACAAGCTGTAAAAAACATGTACTATAAAACAAGCTGTAAAAAACACGTACTATGAAACAAGCTGTAAAAAACATGTACTATAAAACAAGCTGTTCTATTTCGTTCAAGTTTCGCCCTTTAAGGCTATCGCTAGTGGGTTTATCCCTTCGCACGCAGCGCAGCACTGAAAACTTTAGTCCACGCCCACCGGCTGTGTGGGCCCCACCCCCGGTCCGTATAAATTATGGTGAGACCGGGCAATCTGCTCCCATTTTTTCTTCAGTCAGCTAGCACTGTCAGAAGAATGAAGATGTCCAGCACCAGCACCATCCGCCACGCCGACTTCGCCACCTCCCGCCATCCCCGTGAGCTCCTCCCTCCCAAGGAAAGCAGAGACGAGCAGCCTTGTTCAAGGTAAGTGCCGAGGAGTGTTTTTTCATGGCAGGGTGCTACTCGCTGTACGACGCCATTGCCTTTTCTAATGCAGTTCCGCGCAGTAAATCGGATGATTCCTCCAAAAAAGGCGATGCTGGCAGCAGTCCCGCTGCCCCCTCCCTCCTGGAGTGATGTAAGATGGACGGCCGAATGGATGCTCAGCCACCTCAGGTCTTCCTATGTCGGCGACCACTTCACTCCCAGTCGTCGGCGCCCTCCTATTGGAACTGCCCGGCATAATCCAGGAGGCTGCTGACACAAAGGGACTCTCCGTCCCTCTCCTCCCTCCACCCCAATCGGATGATATGGCGGCAAGGTTTGGCTCCGCCCCGGCTCGCCGCCCTGCCCCCATCTGGCCCTGTTTTCTATCTGTGACATCATACTGGAACGAGGCTGCAGCTGGACCCGGCAAGCTGAAGGCGCCTGTCTCCACCTTCGCCCCAATCACCAGAGTGGAGGGTTTTACCGAGAGGGGTTTTTCCCTCGGTTCCCCCTCTGGAGCCAAGCTTTGCAGAGGTGTTTGGGGCAAAGGCTTCCAGGATGGACCAGAGACCTGTCCCTCCAGGGAAGCACAACCAGACCATCACAAACCTCTCCAACCGAGCTCATCAGTGTTCATTCCAGGCGGCCGCAGAGAACAACAATGTCGCCCTGCTGGCCTTCAGCATTTCAAAGAGGCTGGAGGAAGCAGACCTGCTGGAGGAGACAAAGAGCTTCCTCTGTAAAGCCGCCGACATCATCCTCAGCCTGTGCGCCACCTCTGCGGTCTGCCTGGCCCGCATCGCCGCTTGAATGACCATGATTCAGAGGACCGCCTGGCTCCACCTCTCGCCATCCATGCCTGAGAGGCTGCAGATGGACCTGCTGGAGGGCCCCATCACCCCAGAGGTGCTGTTCGGGGCCGACTTCACGCTCCGCTCCTCTGCCAGCCCCCTCCACCAGGGAACAACTCCTTGAGGGGAATGTGTGTTTTTTGATTATGTATGTTTGAAATTAAACAAAAACATCTCTCAGAGAGTAAAGTTTTGTTTGATTCCAGCCTGACTGTCAGATCAAATGATCTCACAGCTGCCTCTCTTTACACTTTCCCCACGCAGAACGAGTCGGTAACCTCTAAACAGCGTTTTAAATTACACTGCAGCTCGGTAAATCTCACAAAGCACTCATCTGCCACGTCAGCTAAAAATGATGTTTTTCAGCAGACCGAGTCTGGGAAAACCACTTGTTCTCAGCCAGAGCCCGTTTTATTTTCTGCTGTTGCTGCCCACTCACCGCGCAGCGGGAGTAAATGCATTTCTCCACGACAGCTGCAGCCTCCACCGAAACGTCGTCTCACTCAAAAAAGCGCTCACGCCTCCCCTCAGTGCGTGCCGGCTCACCTCAGCTGTAACATGAGACCGCAGCCTGGGCTCAGCACAGAGGCACACATACAGCCCTTTCTGTCTGAGCCCCCCTTGGGTTCCCCCTGGAGAATCTCCGGAGCGGGTGACGGCAGTAGGGCTTTAGCTGGCTGACGTCCATGGGAAACATGACACAACACAAATGCGTGCCCGCTCTCTGAGCGTTACTCAGAGTGGCAGCGAGTGTGTTCCCTGGACAGATGGACGGACCATCTGATCAGCAGGGGTTACACACAGCAGTTCGCAGCTCAACCCCCAACGTTCAGAGGGATTATAGAGATGGTTCTGTCTTCTCCAGAACAGAGTTCGATTCTCCAGTCAGAAGTTCCAGAATTTCTGATGAAAAATGTGATTTCCAGAGTTCCCAACGGAAACGGGTTTTACTCCTGCTACTTCCTGGTTCCAAAAAAATAAACGGAGGGATGAGACCCATTCTCGATCTGTCCATCTTCAACAAATCGATTATAGAGAGACAATTCCACATGCTGACAATCAAACAGCTGCTGGAGAAATTCACCAGAACGACTAGTTCACCTCCATAGATCTGAATGACAAATATTTTCACATTCCCATCATTCCGAAACACAGGAAATTCCTGTGTTTCTCCTTCCAGGGGATCCTGTATCAGTACAACAGGCTACTGTTCGCTTATTCCCTCACCCCACTCATGTTCTCAAAATGCATGGAGACGGCTCTACAGCCATTACACAGGGCAGGAATGAGAATTCTTTTTCAATCTGGACGATCTGCTTTTATTAGCTCAGTCCAGGCAGGAAGCAGTTGCACAGACCAAAACGTTAACGTTACACCTGCTAAACATGGGTTTTTCTATAAACTGGGAAAAGAGTTCCGTTCTCCTGTCCCAGATGATTGTTTATCTGGGAGTGGAGCTAAACTCAACCACAATGAGAGCCCGTTTATCACAGCGAGAGCCGACGCTCTGTCAGCTCAGCTCTGCTGTGTCAAACCCTGCAGCATAGTGACAGTTCTGCCTGTCATGCAGCTCCTAGGGATGATGTCAGCGGCCCACATCGTGGTTCCGCTGGGCCTACTTCACATGAGATGCCTTAAGAGATGGTTCGCCCGCCTGCGCATAGATCCTGTGTGCCAGAAGAGGCAGATGATCTCTGTGCCCCCCCTCCGTGAGAACCAATCAGAATCACTGGAGGAACCCCCTCATTCTGTCAGAGGGAGTTCCCATCAGCAGGCCTACATCCCATGTCTCAGTTTTCACAGATGTGTTCCTGTCAAGCTGGGAGAAATGTGTCGTCCCAGGCAGTGGGAGCACAGTGGCCGGACCACATGTTGTTTCACATAAATGTGCTAAAACTTTTCACGGTCTGGAACGTGACTCAGCATTTTGCTCCTCTGCTGCGGGATCAGCATGTTCTGACATCAGAGTGACGGCAGCTTACATAAACCATCAGGGAGGCGTGCACTCAGCCCAACTGTTACGCATCGCAAGACAGCTGCTGTGCTGGGCAAACAAAAATCTGCTCTCCATCAGAGCAGTGTACATTCCCAGCGTCCTGATCAGGGGAGCGGACATAATATCGAGGGGCGGTCCCTGCCACGGAGACTGGAGCCACCATCCCGAGCTGATTTCTCGGATTTGGAGCAGGTTCGGCCGAGCAGCAGTGGATCTGTTCGCCACAAGGGAGAACGCTCAGTGTCAATTATGGTTCTCACTGAGCCCATGGGACGACCCACCGTTAGGAGTGGACGCCTTCACTCACAGCCCGTGGCCAAAAATGCTCCTTTATGCGTTCCCTCCAGTCCTGCTGATATCACGGACCCTGGACCAGGTCCGGGAGGAAAAGTTGTCAGTCATCCTCATAGCTCCCGAGCGCATAAGCGCCTCGTGGTTCCCGAATCTGCAGCAACTGGTGTTGGGTCGGCCGTGGAAACTGCCGTGGAGGGAGGACGCTCTCCTCCAGGCAGGAAGAGCGACCAGGAGCTACCCAGAAATAGGTCAGCATCTTTAGGTCTGTCTACTGAACAGATCCATTTAGAAAAGATGGGCCTCCCACAGGATGTGGTACGTATTATTCAGGGTGCACGAGCTGCTTCCACCACAACGCTGTACACATCAAAGTGGACAGCGTTTCAGCACTGGTGCGCAGAGAAAGGTGTGGAGGCAATCTCATGTCCACTAGGTGGCGTGTTGTCATTTCTACAGCAACTTGTGGACAGAAATTTAGCGTTCAGCACGATTAAAACTTATGCTGCAGCTACTTCTTCCTGTCTTGAGGTTTTTCGGTGACAAAACAGTTCTTAACCACCGGCTGATGAAGAGTTTTCTGATAGGTGTACTGAGACACAGACCTGTGTCACATCCACTAGCTCCACAGCGAGACCTAATGATGGTCCTGCACGCTCTGATCAAAGCTCCTTCTGAGCTTTTAGATCAGGTTTCACTTAAACTTCTGTCATTTTAAACAGCCCTGCTGTTAGTTCTGACATCAGCAAAGAGAGTGAGTGATTATCTGCTCTCTCTGTTGCTCCCTCATGTCTCAGAATTCAAGCTGACGGCAGTTCAGCTGTACTGCGTTTTAACCCTGCTCTGAAAAGCATCACAAGCTTATTCAGATCGAGAGTGATAACCTTGGATGGGTTTTATCCCCCTCCTCATAATTCTGAGGAGGAAGCAACATCTCACCTCCTTCTGTCCCATGCGCGCATTTTTCGTGTTACGTGGCGCGCACAGCCGCACTGCGTCGCTCTCAGCATCTGTTCATGCATTACTGGGACAGCTCTTCAGGACGTCCTCTATCCACCCAGTGCCTCCCACACTGGTTGTATGAGGCTATTTCTGAATCTTACAGTTCATCTGAACTGGATCCTCCAGAGAATCTCAGAGCACATTCTACCAGAGGGTTTTCATCCTCCATGGCTCTGCATGGAGGGATGACAGTGGAGAATATTTGTATGGTCATCGCCATGTTCAATTATTCGTTTTTATCTACGTGATGTTTCTACTTTCTCCATGACCCATTCTGTTCTCAGGGTTCTGACAGAATAATTATTTGTTTCATGGAGCCTCACTTTTGAGCTCACACCTGCCTGCATGTAGTCACAGTGTGAGATATTTATTATCAGTCACAAGTTCATGACTGCTGATTTTATTGTTATTAATCGGTTCATCCTGAGGAGCTGTTGGTCTGCTCTGTTTATCGTTACACTGTTACAATTCGTATCCTCGACTGCTAAAGGAAGTTTTTCCTACCCTGGGTCCTTTTATCCTCGCTATTCTGAATAGCAGTTTATCCTCAGGTGTGGTGCCAAAGACTTTTAAACATGCTGCTGTCCAGCCCCTCCTGAAAAAACCTAACCTTGACCCCTCAGTCATGTCCAACTTCCGGCCTGTCTCCAGACTCCCATTCACCTCTAAACTACTGGAAAAAATTGTGGAGTCTCAGTTGAAACAGTTTTTGGGGGATCACGCTATCCTTGAGTTATTCCAATCTGGCTTCAAATCTCTCCATAGCACTGAAACTGCTCTACTGAAGGTTTTTAATGATATTTTCATTTCCACAGACGCAGGTGATTCTGTGCTGCTTGTCCTATTGGACCTTACATCTGCTTTTGACACCATCGACCACAATATCCTCATTTCTAGACTGGAGCAGTGGGTGGGCATCACAGGGTCAGCCCTTAAATGGTTTGGGTCCTACCTCTCTGACAGAACCTTCTGTGTCAATATCAAAGATTTTAGTTCGGCATCGACCGCACTCCAGTGGGGGATACCGCAGGGGTCCATCCTCGGTCCCCTTCTCTTTTCTTTATACCTGCTGCCACTAGGTGCTATCTTCCACAAACACGACATACCCTTTCATTTCTATGCCGATGATTGCCAAATTTACTTCCCCCTGAGGCACAGAGGCACACGCTCTATTCAGCCTCTTCTTGACTGCCTGGCTGACATCCGGGACTGGATGGCTTTAAACTTCTTAAGCTTCAATGAGAAGAAGTCTGAAGTCATGCTGTTCCATCCCAGTGGCTCACTCATGAACCATGACATTGACCTTTTCTCTCTAGGCCCGCTAGAGAAACAAAAGGTGACTAATCTGGGGGTGATAATGGACCCGTCCTTAAAACTCAACAGTCACGTAAACATGATGGTCAAATCCTGTTTTTTTCAGCTGAGACGGCTGTCAGTTAATGTGAAGGTGAAGTTAGAATCAGGTGTTTTCAATCAATGATGATGATCAGGTGTGAGCGATCACCCTGTTTGATCTAAAGTAGAGGATCTATCAACGTCTGCTCTTCACAACATGTTGCTGGAAGTGGATCATGTCAGGAACAAAGGAGGTTTCTGAGGAGCTCAGAAAAAGAGTTGTTGATGCTCATCAGGCTGGAGAAGCTTACAGAACATCTGGAAAGAGTTTGGACTCTGTAGTTTTCTCCGGCCCCAACCTGTCCAACGATGACACATTCAACCGCTGGGCGTGCAGGTGGTGCTCTGAACACAACGTAGGATTTGTAGACAACTGGAGGACATTTTGGAGAAAACCCGGTCTGATGCGGAGAGATGGACTCCATCCCACCTTCAGTGGAGCAGAACTTCTCTCTAAACACTTACCTGATCCAGTTGGACATCCAGACTATTGACAATTAACGGTCCAGTGTAGAAACCAGTCCAGGAAGCAGAGGTGTAGTCCTCCACCCCTCTGCTGCTTCTCCTCTGTACACCACCCACACCCACATTGAAACAGTGTCAACTCGCCCACAGCTCAAATTAAATAAACCAAAAATCAGCTCTAAAAATATAAACCATAAAAATCTGATTCAAATAAACACAGTTACTTTACCAGAACAAAATCCTAAAATCATTAAATGTGGATTATTGAACATCAGATCTGTTTCCTCTAAATCCCTGTTAGTTAATGAACTGATAACTGATCATCATATT